ACACATGGACCAACGTGACAGAACACATGGACCAACGTGACAGATCACATGGACCAACGTGACAGAACACGTTCACCAACGTGACAGAACACATGGACCAACGTGACAGAACACATGGACCAATGTGACAGAACACATGGACCAACGTGACAGAACACATGGACCAACGTGACAGAACACATGGACCAACGTAACAGAACACCTACACCCTCGTGACAGAACACATGGATCAACGTGACAGAACACATGGACCAACGTGACAGAACACATGGACCAACGTGACAGAACACATGGACCAACGTGACAGAACACATGGACCAACGTGACAGAGACACCTGCACCCACCTGATCACCCCACCGTAAGTAGCCTGTACAACTTGAGCAGATTACTTTATAGCGGCTCTCTTGCGCTCATCTGAATATTAAAATCACGTTTCAATTACTTGCGTCACGACTCCAAAGTTAATATACGACTGACTATAATATTTAAATTGCATGCTGATGAGGTTTACAGCCCGAACAAGGTCGGGCATTGAACTGCCGACAACATGAGCTTGAAAACTTCCCAAATATCTCAGGAATTTAAACAAATTTTTCATGTGCACTAGAGCACCCCGTTTCCTGTTCGAAAACGGTTTGTCAGTTGCACACAAATGTCCACCACTAAAGCCACCACATCCTTACACCAAAACAATATTACTTCGTTTCAGAAGTAAGCGAAAAAAATATGACCTGGATGGGCGTGTGTTAAGGGTGAGACCAGACGAGCATAAAGGCAACAGCACATGACTGAAGGGAAAAGATTATGTAAACAATGATGTACACAAATGTACACTGGAAAAGTGATGAACACTAAAAGCAGGATATAACCCCCCAACCTCCTTCACGAAAACCCTAGTAGGACATCGCTCTCTAACGATTACGAACCTAATCTTAACACTAAACCTCTTCTAAACCTTGTACTTGTCCCACGTGAGGAATAAAACAAGTCCTAGACAGGGATCCAGTTAACGCAGAGCTTGTAAAATTAGATCCTCCGCAGTGCTTAATGTGCAGTGTTCTGGGAGCGACCGATTAGGGATTTGATTTACAACTGTATGCATATGATATGTTTATAACCTGCAGTTTTGTGGCCTGTCGACGTCATAGACCTAAAATAAATGGAGCAGGAACGAGCACTCCATGGAAATGTCAAGAGTTACTGCCCTTGTTACCAGACAAGGAGATCACAAATTGGGCCAAACTTCTTTTGATTTACTGCTAAAAAGTCAAAGCTTAAATATTTTTGTCAATTTATTTAAGTTGAGAAAGTATTGGGTCAAATGTCTTGTTTTATCGTGTATGGCTAGGCTAATTAGCATTGGGGTGAGGTAGGGATGTATTAAAGGTGGGGATTGGGGGTGGCTGGGTGTGGTATGGATGGGGTTGGGTGCAATGTTCGCTCTAAGTTTTGAACTGCCGTGCAGTTGACTTTTAGGAGACTACTCGCACAAATGTGCAGACCAAATTTTTCACCTTATAGGGAACGTTGGTTGGGTGTGGTAGGGGTGAAGTGGGGGTTGAGTGTGATAGGTGTGGGGGTTTAGAGTGGAAGGGGTGGGGGTTGAGTGTGGTAGGGGTTGGGTTGAGTGTGATAGGTGTGGGGGTTTAGAGTGGAAGGGGTGGGGGTTGAGTGCGGTTGTTGTGAGTCTGAGTGTGACTGAGTGATGTAAGGGTAAAGTAGGATGGGATTGGCTGGGGCTAGGTGTGATAGGGATGGGGTTAAGTTTGGCTAGATAATGCAGGGGTGGGGTTGGCAGTATATGCTATTTTATGTTATATGTGTTATAAATGTAATAATTGTTATGATTAATACTAATAGTTTCGCTGTCTGTCTATGTATCTATCTGTCTGTGTATCTATCTGACAAGAACGCTATAGAGAAAACACAAGCAAATTAAAAACATGCATAGTTAAACGAAAACGAAATATGACGTCACATTTAGCTTATAGTAGAAAATAGTATCAAGCCGGAGATTGCACAAAGTAATATGACGTCATTGATTCTCGAGTAAACATTGAATAAAAAGGCAATTTTGTCTAATCTAAGTGGTTTGCGTGAAGAATTTCTTTCATACAATTCTTCTGGTAGGGGCAAAGCCCCACACGTCTGAGCCCCCCCCCCCCCCTCCCCAACTCAAAAGAAATTTCTTCATCGATACTCTATAATAAAATTACCGCCTAATTAATGTGTCTAATCTAAAAAGTGGTTTGCTTGCAGTTTCTTTCATGCAATTCTTCGGGTAGTGGCTAAGCGCGACACCAGTGTTTCTTTCAGACTTTTTCCTCCCCGGATGGGGGAACTTTTTCTAATCTAAAAAGTGTTTAGCGTGCACAGTTTTTTTTCATGCATCTCTTCCGGTAGGGGCGAAGCCCCGCCCGGGTTCTTCCTTTAGTTTGTATGATCTACAAATGCGACCAGTGTTTCTTTCAGACTTTTTCCTCCCCGGTGAGGGGTGGGGGTACTTGAATTTTTTGGGGGGCGAGGTAGAATTTTCTGGGAGGGGGCAGACACTGGAAAAAGTATATAATCATATTTCGTTGAATGGGAAGGTAGACATGTTTTGGGGTGTGTGTGAGAGTAGGAAATAAGAAATATGGAGTAGAGTAGGAAATAAGAAATATCTAGACCAACGTTACGAATATTTTTTGGGGGGACTTCTGTCAGGGGCGTCAATTATAGTGTTGTTGTTTTATTGTAGTGATCATTAGTTTAGCGCAGGGGTCTCCAAACTTCAGACCGCGGGCCTAATGTGGCCCGCGAAGTCCTTTCATCCGGCCCGCGGAGATCTTTTTGTCCTCGGAAAAAATTAGCTTTGGGTGCAAATATCATTGCCCGCCGCGTTGAAGACATTGGTGAAAACAAGGTGACTCAAATAGCAAAAAATACATGCAAGTTTCGCAATTTTTTAATTTCAATGGATAAGTATCTGCATAGCTGTTCACCTCAACTGCTTGTGTTCGTTTGGGGTGTGGATGAAGTCATGAACAAAAAACAAGAGCTGGCTTCCCTACATAATTTGTATGGCACTGTTACCGGAGAGGATATATTCAATGAGTTAAAGAAAACATTTGCTGTTTATAACTTAGACTGGACTAACCTCAGTTACCTGACTGTTGATGGGGAAAAGTACATTAGTGGCATAAAGAAAGTCTTGTTTGGACAAGATAATGAGGAAAAAAATTTACAAACAGTGTTTCTGCACTGTATTATTCACCAGCAAACTTTGTGTTTTAAATATATAGACATTAGCAGTGTACTGAATCCTGCGGTGAAGATGGTGAATTTAACAAGGTCACACTTAACAACCATAGATAGTTCAGAGACATGTTGAAACATACAGACACATAATCGCAACATGTACCATATTACACAGCAGTTAAATGGCTAAGTTGTGAGAAAGTTCTGTGGAGGATATTTAAGTTATGAAAGGAAATAGGTGACTTACTGGAAAGTAAAGGCAAGCCACAGCCATTAATGTCTGATCAACAGTTCGAATGGAAATTGGCCTTTGCTGCAGTCATAAATAGTCATTTAAATTTTCTGAACCTAAAACTACAATGAGAGTTAAATCTAGTTTCTTTTCTATGCACCCACCTAAAAGCCTTCAGATCCAAACATGTCTTGTTTTTAGAACAACTTGACGCACATTCAGCAGTGCAGTCTTCATGGCCTGAGCAACAGCTGAGTCATTTGCGTGCGAGATCATCAAGGACCTTCAGATGAAGTTTCAGTGGCGGTTTTCTGACTTGGATTTAAAGGCAGAAGAAGTGAGACCATTTGAAGCGAATGTGGCCAGTTGCCCAAATGAACTGCAGCTGGAGGTCATTGAATTGCAAGGAAATTACATCCTTAGAGACAATTTCAAAGAAGGGCGGGTGGGTTTTTATAACTTTAAAGAAATAAATTTTGCCCAAGGAAGACTTTCCTAATATTAAAACATTTGCATCAATGTATATTTCAAATTTTGGAACAACATAACTGTGTGGAAAAACATTTTCGAGATTGAAATGCGCGAAGAACAATTTGAGAGCTAACTTGGACCTCGAGTGTATCGGCCCCCGACATTGTTTCTTCGACAATTTTTTTCTCGGGGGGGGACTTGAAATTGTGTCCATTATATATATATATATATATATATATATATATATATATATATATATATATATATGTATATATATTAGTAAATATATATATATATATATATATATATATATATATATATATATATATATATATATATATATATATATATATATGTGTGGATATATATTAGTAAACCGTTTTACTAAATTTTAAATTAACTATTTCAACCATTTACTAATTTAGTATCTTAACCTATTTCATCGCAATGTATAACATGTATATCATGAGACAACAAATCACACAAAAATTTGATCTAACTCATTTCGGGCGAGGTATATTCGTGCTTTAAAAAGTTTATACCTTTTTTAAAAAAATATACCATCATATATACCTTTATTTTCAACTCGGCATACTGCTTCGATTCGCTCAGGTTTTTAAAGAAATTTGAAAATTCTAATGATTAATTAATTGATGATTGGTTGTTCTGGTGTGACATTAATGTCGCTCGACACGTCCTGCCCCGTTCTGGTGGTGAAGTGGAGGGAGGGGGGTTATAACCTCCCTACCCCCTGTCCACGTATCCTTCTGTAATCGCCAGTCCGATTCGACCAGTGAAAAGGAAAAAATTCTCTGGGAAAGTTTTGAAGGCCGGAGCGGCCCGCGGTCCTGATGATATTTCCAACATTTGTAGTATGGTTTCAGAACCAAACATTGCCAGCCTATATAAAAAGCTGGTTTCACACCAGAAAATTTGGTCGCTAGTTTAGATCTTTGCTGGGTCTGTCGACTTGTTGGTCCATCGACTTGTTGGTCCATCGACTTGTTGGTCCATCGACTTGTTGGTCCATCGACTTGCCAATCGTCAGATCTATCTACAGTCAAACTAATTAGTCGGACAAATTGGTCGGACATATTGGTCGAAGAATGCTCGTCCACACTCTTCTCGTCTTTACAGCTGTTTTTCTACAGCAAGTCGCTTGCTCAGGTAGGTTACCTGTACAGTTCCTGTGGACAGGTTACCTGTACAGTTCCTGTGGACAGGTTACCTGTACAGTTCCTGTGGACAGGTTACCTGTACAGTTCCTGTGGACAGGTTACCTGTACACGTCCTGTATACAGGTTAAATGTACAGGTCCTGTATACAGGTTAACTGTAAAGGTTCCTGTGTGCAGTTAACTGTACAGGTCCCTGTGTGCAGGTTAACTGTACAGGTCCTGTATACAGGTTAAATGTACAGGTCCTGTATGCAGATGAACTGTACAGGTCCTGTATGCAGGTTAACACCAAATTTCCCTATCAACATTTGACGTGTTGATAGGTAAATTACTTCAAAATTATAATGCGTATTAGAATACACTAGACTACCCGTTATCCTTTAGATAACTGTGGGTTTAGGGGGTCATCCATAAAGGACGTCACAGTTATTTGACTCCCCTTTCTACTGTCACAAGTCGTCACAAAAACCCAGACCCCACCGCCAAAAGGACGTCACACCTCAGACAACATGTTTTTGTCTTTTAAAAACGACGATTTTGCCAGAGCATTGATAGCAGGGGCGGAACTATAGTGCCGCCAGACCCCGCAATGCGGGGGGCCCACGCCGTTTAGGGGGCCCACAGCCGCCCATGATCATTTTTTTTAAAGTTAAAATTAATTTTCTTGCATTTTTGACCTGATGGTTGTTTTGAAAAAAGAATACTGTAGCTGCGGTTGGAGTATCTTTATTCTATAGACACCAGCCCACGCTCTTGTATAATGTTTTTCGTACAATCAAACAAACGCTGTTGTCGGCAAAATTCTTTAAAAAAAACATCAATCGCGCGAGAGGCCGCTCGATATTAAAACGGCTTTTTGAGACCATCCCAAATTTGGTACTGATGGATAAAAGCATATCGGTGCTTTGTTGTCCCTTTTAAGTTCCTTTCTCAGACCTCCCCTCCCGCTCTTAGCCTTACAAGAAGCGAATAGATAGCGCCTCAACAACTAAGCTGGCTCGTATCGGTGGTAGTGTAGACAAACTAGCGCTCCAACAACAAAGCTGCCTCGTATCGGTGGTAGTGTAGACAAACTAGCGCTCCAACAACAAAGCTGCCTCGTATCGGTGGTAGTGTAGACAAACTAGCGCTCCAACAACTAAGCTGGCTCGTATCGGTGGTAGTGTAGACAAACTAGCGCTCCAACAACAACGCTGGCTCGAATCGGTGGTAGTTTTGATAAACTAGCGCTCCAACAACTAATATCCAGGAAATAAAGTGCCGACATTGTTTACATTTAATAACCACTGTTCTAGAAAACAAGGCAAACGTCTCCAATAAATACACGAATGATAGAATGTTATATATATATATATATATATATATATATATATATATATATATATATATATATATATATATATATATATATATATATATATATATATATATATACATATATGGGGGGGGGGCAAAAAACATTTTGCGGGGTGGCCCATTTTTTCTAGTTCCGCCACTGATTGATAGCCCTTCGTATACTGAGGGCAAAGAACGGGTGAACTCTACTTCACCTGCCACGTGTACCGCCAAGTTCCGATAGTCATTTTTATCATTCACGTCTAAAAAGAAAAAAAAATATGTTAAAATATGTCACATTGATATGACGTGTCTCGAACCCTTACCCCCAGCATGGTTATTATTACACTATCATCTCGGCCAGCTGGGCAAGTACAGTTAAATGCACATTTATTGCCTTGATTTACTTAGAATCGTATAATAAATTTAAATTACGCGAATATTATTTTACATTAAATTATATCCTAATTTAGTCAATTCCTTTGCTAAACAAAGATGTATGTAAAATAACTAAGACATGAAATAGTTAAGTATAGAAACTCACTATTGACCTTGGTCTAGAATCTAGATAGAGCTAGAGAGTAATTCAACAATCTTCGGCTCACTTAAGACAGTCTATTTTAATTAACTAATTATCCTTATCTCTAGATACATTCCTTGCATTATTGAATTACATGATCTGTAAAGCTAAAAAGCAAAGTTATATCAAATATTTAAGGACTAAAATATGTTGGTTATCTCACGATATAGTGTCAGAAACTATCCGGTAATGTTTGTTGAGTTTCGTAAACATTTGCTACTGTAAACCATAGTTTATTTGACCGTTGAAATATAAATGATGTTAGTGAATATTGTTTTTTAAGAAACAAAGAAAACAAGTTAATTAAAAAAGTCTAGTGACATTTGTGCGCAATTTCCTTATGTTATCTAAAAATAGCTCTGACGTATAATGTTGGGGTGCGTTCAAGCTAGAAGAACAATCGGTTTGTAGGTGTTTATGTAATTTTAAAATTTGTGACCGAACGAGAGAATATTTTTGAAAACTTTCTTCGGCAATATTGTTCTAAATTATGACAGGAATCGATTGGTACATGTTTCAAGTCGCTAAGTGGTCTGGTTGCCGAGATATGGGCCAAAAACTGCTTTTTTTCGAGATTTTTTGGCTTTTCTGGGAAATCCATGAAAGAAACCCGGAATTTTTATGGCCTATGTTCATCCTCGTAACTTGCTTAACATAATTGCTTTTGGAACTAGTCATCGATATTGCTTCGTTGAGGAGGAGATACGACTTAAAGCTGCGGACACACATTCATCCATCCATCCATCCATCCATCCAGAAATGACGGGTTAATAAACGCAATTCTCCAGAATGGAAATTGCGCTAAAAACTTGCAGAAGATTAGCGACAACAAGATTCTAGATCTAAGTCAAGTAAAACAAGACGATTAGATTTAGTTAAGTTTAAAGTAGTAAGAAGGACTAGAACAATGTTTTAGTAGTAGATTTATTAGCACATGGACTTAAAATAATTAGAAATACAAACTAATTAGCACATCAGAATTTAAAATGCAACTAAAATCAATCTGTGCAATTTTTTTATACATTATGTATAAAAAAAATATAGCACAAAATGATTGTTTATATTATTTTCCAATTTTTTCCGACTGCGCACTTTTCTGTGTGCGCAACTTTTTGTTTGCACTTTTTTCTGTGTGCGCTTGTTTATGCATGCGCATTTTCTGTGTTCGCGTTTTTCTGTTTGCGCGTTTTTCTGGCTGTGCATGTTTCTCTTTTGCGCTATTATCTGTGTGCTCAAATGTCTGTTTGCTATTTTTTTCTGGTTGCGCATTTTTCTCTTTGCGCATTTCTCTGTGTGCGCAAATTTCTGTTTGCGTTTTTTTCGTTGCGCTTTTTCCGTTTTGCATCTTTCAGGTCACCCAGTTTAGAAGCCGCTTCATAGTCCTCTATGTTAACTTCTATCTTTGTATCATTATTTCGTTTTAAAGAGTGCGCACTATGCGTTTATGTTTGTATTTAAGTTTGTGCTTAGGTTCGCGTTTAATTTTCCATTTTTAAAGTTATTATTAGCGTTTAGTTTTGCGTTTCTTTTTGCGTTTGTGTTAGCATTTGGGTTTGCGT